CCAGAAAGTCATTTTTTTTCGCCCCATACCTCGCTGAGGTATTTGTCAAGATTGGAAGCAAAAAAATAATAATAATAATCTAGCTGAAAAACATCTCTGATCACTGTGAGCCAATTCCTCCCATCTCTCAGGCAGGGCTGTGAGGATGTTCCGCACGGGTGCTTCATGGCCACAAAGTGGCTGCGTGAAGCTGAGCACCAGCCTTGTTTCCTGCCTCATCCTTGCCTCCCTGGGACAGAGGAGACACCTCACCTCCTTGTCCCTTTCTCATGTCTCTACTCCCTGTTTCTAACTGGTCACTTTTTAAAAATTAAATTGTAGTAAAATACATGTAAAATTTACCACCTTAACCATTGTTAAGTTACAGTTCAGTGGCATGAAGTACGTTCACAGAGCTGTGCAGCCATGACAGCTGACCATTTCCAGAAGTCTATAGACATCTTGGCGCAAGCGCCGCTCCACGCCCATTAAACACGAGCTCCCCATTCCTTCCCACCTGGTAGCCCCCATTCCACTTTCAGTCTCTCTGAATCTAGTCCAGCTGCCTCACCCAACCGGAATCATTCAGGATATCTACTTTCGTGACTTGCTTATTTCACTGAGTGTAATGTCCCCCAGGGTCATCCATGCTGCAGCCTGGGACAAGAGGTCCTTCCTTTTTAGGCTGAATCCTATCCCCATGGTACATACTTACCATACCTTGTTTACCTGTGTATCCACCAATGGACACTTGGCTTGCTTTTGCCTTTTGGCTATCGTGAATAATGCTGCCATGAGCAGGGGCACCCAGATATTTCCCCATCACTATTTTTATTGTAAGTTTTTATCTGAATTCCAGTTAGGGGGCACCTGGGTGGCTCAGTCTGCCTTCAGCTCAGGTCATGATCCCGGGCTTCTGGGATGGAGCCCCTGCATGGGGCTCCCTGCTCAGCAGGGAGTCTGCTTCTCCCTCTCCCTCTGCCCCCCCCAACCTCATGTTCTCTCTCTCTCATACACACAAATAAATAAATAAAATCTTTTTTAAAAAAAGATTTTTAAAAATTCCAGTTACTTAACATACAGTGTAATACTAGTTTCAATCGCACAGAATAGTGATTTAACATTCCTGTCACTATTTTTAAACTCATCAAGTATTAGAATAACAAAGGGCCCCCGAGTAAAACAATATTCAACCCCTGAGTTTATTTCCAGCTACCTCTGCTTGTACTTGAAGGGTCTTCTTAGACATCACCTACTCAAGACTCCTCCCCCACTCCCCGAGATGGACTGAGACGTCTCCCTAGGCCTCCTGGCCAGTGAGCCCAGTTGTGCCATATTTGCCTCTTCCGGAACCCTGTGCAGAGCTGGGAAGGTGCCGTGAGCTGCCCCATGTGGGACTTGTGGGTATGGAGTGCATTTGTGCCCCCTTCTCACCCCATCATATTGTCCATGAGAACCACAGTGGTTTGGGGAGGCTTCCCTGACCTCAGACAGGGCTTGTTTTGAATCCCAGTGGGTCCTCAGTACGTCTAACAGTTACTAGCCCTCCAAGGAGGGGAGCAGGAGGATCCCTCTTACACAGCTCCAGGAGACAGAGAAACCTCCATTACGTATCCGTGAGTGTAGACCGTAGATCTGTCTCATGCACACCTGCATGTACTCTGAGCTCTGTCCTCCATTCTCCTGCCAAACTCTGGGCAACAGCAAGGGAGGAACAGTGCAGAGGGTCAAAGGATATTTCTGGAAAGGGGTGGAGGGATGCATGGGCTGTTTTCTATTCTGTCATTCTTCTGCAAAGCCCCTGAAAGGCCCAGGAGACACCAGAGGGAAAGGAAAGCAGAACAGAGAAGGTTGGTAACCCCTCCCAGCTCTATAGGAATCAGATCCCTGCAGGTCTTTTTCAGTCAGCAGATTGAGCCTCTCTGCCTTCGGTCAGGTCATGATGCCAGCCAGCATCCTGGGATGAGTCCCACATCGGGCTCCCTGCTCAGCAGGGAGCCTGCTTCTCCCTCCGCCTGCTTCTCCTTCTGCCTGCTGCTCCCCCTGCTTGTGTGTGTGCTCTTCCTCTCTCTTGCCAATAAATAAATAAAATCTTTTTAAAAAAGAAAAAACAAGAAGAAGTTATGAAGCTTTTTCCATGGTTGAGGTCAGTGCAGTAGCACCGAACAGGTCTCTAGCTAGAACCTCACATTTGCATTCACAAAGTCAATGCAAAAGGTCAGGACAAAGGAGATCTGGCTGAGAGTCAGTTTGGGAGAGGAAAAAAGGAAGTCGTAGGAGCTAACAGAGGTGCAGTCTGCTTGCTTAAAACAGATATAGTGTGGAGCTGAGCTACTTTAATGAACACAGAGCCTCCCTTTAAAGAGGGGGAAAAAATCATCACATTCTCCCCTGATGCTTTCAGACCACATCTGGGCCATTTTGCCCACAACAAAGCAATCCATTTTGAGAATAGTAGTGACTGATAAGAGAATTAGAAGGGAAAGGATTCAGAATCTGCCACATGCAAATTATCCTGATCAAGTTAAGAGAAAACTTAAAAGGGGAACAAAAGAGCTATCTTCAAATATTTAAGAAGGCAATCCTGTTACTCCTAAGACCAGAAGAGGAGAAATGGGTAGGAGTTGGTTTCATTCTGAGTGTTGTTCAGGCTAAAATTGGGGCAAGATTTGCTCATTGCTCTCTAGGACTTCATTATCTCCTACTGAGGAGATAAAGAAGAACAATTACCAAGAGTTATAAAGGCTTAAGTGTGCCAGGTGTTGGTGTAAGCAGCTTACAGGCAATATGTCCCTTGTCCTCACACTCCAGGGTAGGCACGGTCACTTCGATCCCGCAGCATAGGCAAGGGATCTGGTAAGAAGAGCTTCCCTGCAGGGGCTTGGAAGACAGTGAGGAGCTCTACCAAGGGGACTGGAAGTCAGAAGAGCTTGAGCTTGAGCTCAAGGCCTAAGCTTGCACTAACAGACAAGGAGGAACAATATAGAGGTGGAGGGGAGGGGGCCTGGGTAGCTCCCAAAATTTTCTCAAATTTAGCCCAACCACTGCCACCACCCCCAGCTAATACAAATGACCCTCATCTCCTGCCTGGACTAGTGCAGTAGTCTCCTCATTGCTGCTCTATAGACTGGTATCTGCCCAGAGCTAGAATGACCCTCTCCGAGCTTGGAGGGCACATCACTCCTCTCTCCAAACCCTCTGTGACTGCATCTTATGCAAACAAGAGCCTCAGTGGCCAGCCAGGGCCTGTAGGATCTCACCCTGTCCTCTCTCATGTTCTTCTGTCTGCCCCTCTCTCTTTTCAGCCCTCCCCCAGCCACACTAGACTCCTTGCTGGTCCTCAGCCCTGCCAGCACACTCTTCCCCAGTGCCTTTGCACCCACTGTGCCCTCTGCCTAGCAGTCCTTTCCCAAGGAACTATATGACGACTTTTTTGCTTACTTCTAGGCTCTGCTCACATGTCAGCTTATCCATGGGACCATCTCTGCCACCTTAAGTGATCACCCCTCACCTCCTCCCCGGTCTGCCCTCCACAGCTTTACTTTTCTCTAAAGCATTTACCACCATGTGGCATCTTCTCTATTCATGTATGGTGTATAGTATACACTATATATGGTCTATTGTGTTATCATTCTTTATATATCATTCTGTGTATCTTTATCATTCTATATATATCAACTATATATTGGGTATATATACTGTTAGGCATAGTTGACATATATATATCTACTATACACTATATATAGTCTACTTTGTATCTTTCCTTGGCTTACTGTCTGTCCCCATCAGGAGGCTAAGATTCAGAGGACAGGGTTTTGTTTTGTTCCCTGCCTCATCATCAGAACCTAGAACAGTGCCTGGCACATGGGAAGCCCTCCGTGCATGTGCCCTGCTGGGATAGAGGAATGAGCAAGTAAGCTGGACCTGGAGATGAAGAGAGGCCTGGCACCACCCAGTGTCCCCCAAGAACCCTGCCAGTGGGAAGACACTACCGACGTTTCTAACAGTAGAACATGATCAGATTTGGTTTCAGGAGCTTAGGGCTATTCCAACTAATGAGGAAGACCTGAATGGTTATCAGACCTGGCCATCAGTGGATTCAGCCATGTTGTCAAGTGGTGAGCTCCTGGGAGCTGGGAGGATCTGAGGCTCATGCAGGGACCGACAGAGGAGAGGGTCCTTTTGTGTCCCCAAAAAGGCATTCAAAGCCCCATTTGTGTCCTGAGAAATTGTGATTTCCAACAGCTCAGCTTCTTGCCACACCAGACTGAGACCCTGGTCATTGAAATGGAAGGCAGTTAGGCCAAATTTTAGTGGAGCACTGTCACCAGCTCAGTCTTGTCCCAGCCCACAACTTGCCTCCTCAAGAGTGACTGTCCCCACCCAAGAAGGCCCTCCACTCTTTGGAGGACCAGGAAGTCCCTGGTCCTGGTGTGTTCAAGCTGGCCCTGGGTGTCCTTTGTCAGGGACCGTGCTGGTCAGGTTTTGTTGCAGTCACAAACCACCTGAGCCTCTCAGTGGCTGACAGCCATGTCCTGTTACGACAGAGGTCAGATGTCGGAGATTCCCGTGGTGGGACCTGCTATTCTCATGGCAGAGGGCAGGAAACGGAGAGAAGCAGAGCCAAACCACACAATCACACTCAAAGCGTCTGCTGGGAAATGGCCAGCTTCATGTCCACTCACACCCCATTGAACAAAGCATGACATAGACAGTGGGTGGGATATGTGATCCCGCCCCGGGGAGAGCAACCACTTGGGACCAATAATTATATCTGCCATAGAACTGTTGTGGGCAGAAGGATTTCTGTTTTGAATAAGCCATTGACGCGTTTAACTCATGTGACTCCCTCTGCTCTACTACTTCAGAATTATTTTGCATGTCAATTGCAAAGCTCTCTATATCCATTTCCCTCCCTCATGCTATAGGCCCAAGACTCCATGATGTGTCTGGAAGGCCCCCTGGGGCAGCTGGCCTCCCCACCCGGTTATTCTCTCACTGTCTCTCCTTCTCCTGGACAGGTGGGTGGCAGGCCCATGGAGCCCCTGCTCAGCTACCTGTGAGAAGGGCATCCAGCATCGTGAGGTGACCTGCGTATACCAGCTGCAAGACGGCACCCACATCACCACACGGCCCCTCTACTGCCCAGGCCCCCGGCCGGCACCAGTGCAGAGCTGCGAAGGCCAGGACTGCCTGTCCATCTGGGAGGCATCTGAGTGGTCACAGGTGGGTGCCCGGGCTGCCTTGTCCACAGGGACCCCAACATGGTGCCTTTCCCTCTATGCTATTTGTGACTCAAACCAAAGTATCACAGTGCTTGCCAGCCCCTAGATAACTAAAAAAGATGTATTCTAGCTCACGTGTTCCTAAATTCCATCTGAGAAGACAATAGGGCTAAACAAACATGGGTAACGTGTTTTTGATCATATATATGTTTTTGATAATATTTACCACAGTTCGATCCCAGTTCCTTAGAAAATTCTCAATTAAAGATGGATGGATGATGGGTGGATGGTTGGATGGTTGGGTGGGTGGGTGGATGGATGGATGGATGGATGGAAGGATGGTTGGTTGGGTGGGTAGATGGATGGATGGATGTTTGGGTGGGTGTGTGGATGGGTGGGTGGGTGGATAGATGGATGGTTGGTTGGGTGGGTGGGTAGATGGATGGATGGATGGTTGGATGGGTGGGTAGATGGATGGATGGATAGATGGATGGATGGGTGGGTGGGTGGTTGGGGAGGTAGTTACGTAGGTAAACATACCAACTGACTAACCAGCTGACCTTCTAATTTTCTTTTGGTGTATTTGAATTCTAGTGCCATCAGATTGGGAAGGCAGTTTCAAAGGTTTTCTCTGAACTCTGTGTCAGTCTTTGCGGATTATAAGAGGCAAAGCAGACACTTGGAGGGACAGTTTTTAGTATACAAGTTGGAGTCACACATCTCATGCCATAAAATATTTTGGAAAGAGGTCAGTTAAGCCTTAAGTTTTAACTTGAAAGACTGATTCTAGAAATATTTTATCTTTGTTAATATCATCCTTCAAAGCTTTGTGTTGACTTTGCATTAATGATTTTGACTGTTTGGCCATAAAACAAAAAATAGCTTGAATAAAGGGCAAGTTTCCCTCAGGTCCTCCATCAAATGTGTTCTAGGAAAGTCAGAAAGGCTAAATCCAAGACACTCTTCAGTGTGGAAAATATTTTTAAAGTTCCTTTTTATTGCCAAACAGTTGGAATTATTTTGAATAAGAAAGTATTCAGCCCATTCTTAATGAACGAAAAGTCTACCCTTGGCTGCTCAGAAATGGGGTTTACATTTCAGACAGATTTTGACGTATACACGTTTGAAGACCTGAGACTTTATCCTGCACTTTATGATATTTTAGGGAAAAGAGTTTAAAATTTTTATTTTTTGTATGTACTTAGGATTGTAAGTTGAACATTCAGGGGACCTCTTTTAGGGAGGGGGACTACTTGCTGGAGGGGTCGGCAAAGGCATGCAGTTTCCCCCACCACCCTCCCCTCCAACCTTGAGCCTGAGGTCCTTGATCACTAGCTCTTGATCCAAACAAAATTTATGCTTTAATCAGATCAAAGCCATAAATTTTCCATTCAGACTCTTTTTAATAGAAAAAAAAAGTCCTTACCAAAGTAACCAAGCCTGACATTATCAACTATCATCATAGCATTAAGAACACCAGATTGGAAAATGTGAGACAACTAAAGCAAGATTTAAAGAAATAGCTCTAGTTTCACGTCTATATCTCTGAGTGTACCTGATCCTAATGCTGAAATAGTATCCACACCAATCAGCCTCCTTCTGGCTCAGTTCAGGCTCGAGCCAAATGCCTCTTTCTGAACAGTCAACTTGGAATCAAATCTTGCCCTCATTCACGAGATACTCACCAAACTGGTATTTCTATTTCTTCACCACATGCTAAAGCCCCTTTAGAGATTTTATTTATTTATTTGAGAGAGAGAGAGAGAAAGAGCATAAGCAGGGAGAGGGATAGAGGGAAAGGGAGAAGCAGGCTCCCCACTGAGCAGGGAGCCCGCCATGGGGCTCAGTCCCAGGAGGCTGGGATCATGACCTGAGTTGAAGGCAGATGCCTAACTGACTGAGCCTCCCAGGCACCCCACTGAAGCTTTAAATGTTGAAATGAACTGAAGCTTCATTCAGTTCATTCACCCCACTGAAGCTTTAAATGTTAAATGCTGAAGCCTTAAATGTTTCTTCTTTAATGTTTCTTCATCCGGAAACAAATGGGTTTAAATTTCTCATGGTAGAGAAATTTATTTGACTGCGGAGGTTGCCTTTGTAGAGCTGGCATCTGTTGATTGCCCTTCCTCTCTCTCCCCCAGCTTCTTCCCAGCTTTGTTAGAATGAGGAGCAGTTACCAGGAAGGAAGCAAAAGATAGTGACTGTCTCCCATCCTCAGTCCCTCCAGAGAAAGGCCCACCAGCAATGTTGCCCTTTTCTCAAAGCTTCAGGCTTCCAGCCAATGGGCTGCTTCTCAGAAGGGCTGAACCCAGTTTTGGTCAAGAACCAGACTAGACATTAGCATCTGAAATTCAAGGGCAGGGGATGGAGAGGGACAGGGAATGCAGAATAGAGTAAGATGATGCAGGAATTCTGGCAGAAGTGGTAAGTAGGTTTCTAGTTGAAGAAGGAGCTTGGGTGTGGGCAGAGCTAATGAAATGGTCAGGGAGCATCACCAAGCATAGAAGCAGAGAGATTGACCTTCAACTCAGTAACCCAGGCTCCCACTGCAAGAGGGTGACTCCTGCTCTGGACTGACCCCTTGCATCCAAGGTTCTGAGCCGACCCCTCACCCACACATGGGATCAAATACGCATGCTCTCCAGCTCCCCCCAGATGATGCCACAGCCAGTTCTGAAGTATGTGTGTTTCTTCTAAAATAAGCCAGCTAAGTCTCAAAAACAAAACAAAACAAAAAAACTTCAGAGAGCTAAATTGAACTCATCGGAAAAATAAAGCTACATAACATTTTGGGATAAATGTTAATAATAGAAATATAAAGAACAACTCTTGTCCTTTAGATGCGTTTTCCCAGGGGACACAGTGGAGCTTTTTAAAAAATCAAGTTTGCTGTGGCTCAAAAATATCACTGCTGTAGGTTTCTGGTAAATCAAGCAAGTATGAAAGCAGATGCTCGAATCATGAGGGCTCCATTTTGTGCTACCACAGTGGATGGGCTGTCCGCCCCCACCATAGCTCTGGGACCCAGCTGTTGGGAGCCTGGGGTTCACTGTGTCTATACCTCTTGGCGGAATGCAGCCTTCAGCCCACCATCTCTGCTAATGACATTTTGTTTCTGTGGTAGAGACGTGCAGGGCTTCCGTACCCCACAAATAGGAGGGAGAGCTCCCTGGGTTTGCAGGCTGTGTTACCCCCTGTTGCTGGTTGGATCATGTATGCAGTCAGTCCCGTCCTCCCAAGGTCATAGTCTGCCCTCTTGGGCTTCCTTCTTTGTTTTAAGGTGGTAAGCTCTTTCGGAGCCTGGGGAGGTCCCTCCCTGAGTTCAGAGGGAGCATGCCAGAAGCTGGGTCCAGCTACACCCCTCAGGTCCGCCATGTTTACCCATTACCCCACCTCTCCTCCCTTCTTCCAAGGCTCTTCCTGCCCGAGGGCATGGGAATCTTGAACTCTCAGGGCTCGCACATGATTTGTCATTCCTCAGGCTCTCTTTGGGTCCCCTCACCACACTTTCTCTTGCAGTGTCTCCTGGGAAGTAGGTAAATCATCACGGGGACCATTGCTCGGTGACATTCTTGACATCCACACCTAACACAGTCACTGTAGCTCTCTGCAAGACCTTACCAACGGCCTAAGGTGTAAGTCACCTGTGGCTTGGCTTTGCATCTCCACCTTTTCCACCCTGAGCCTGTGCTTTTGCCCCAGGCTGGCCCAGGCTGAGTGCATGGAGCTGGAGGCCAGCCACGAGGAGTCATGGGCCTCAGAAGTCTTTGCATGGGTGTCCTGACCTGGCTTCCCTGGCCCTGTCCTCTGCTCCACTCGAGGGATCCACCAGCATTTGCCCCTTGAACTTCTCCACTGCGTTGGTCTCTTGGACCTGGTAGCAGGCCACTAAATTCCAAGTTTGGTCTTTTGGGTACCTCAAGCTCTCCCCGATCCTGTGGCCCTTCCCCATCCCTGGTCACTTGGCTGAGTCACAGCTAGGACCATGTGCCTCAGACTCTAGAAGCCTATAGAAGCGTACTCATCCTTGCATCCCCAGCACTGCATTTGGCACACGGTTGCGACTTAATAGACATTGATGACCTTGAACTGAATCAGACAGGGTCAAACATCCCAACGGTGTCTTTCAGTGCTCGGCCACCTGCGGCAAAGGGACGCAGAAACGAACTGTGACATGCACCAATTCGCAAGGAAAATGCGATGCATCCACGAGGCCCAAAGCAGAGGAGGCGTGTGAGGACTACTCAGGCTGCTATGAGTGGAAGACTGGAGACTGGTCCAAGGTGAGTGGTGGGTCTGCATCTCTACCCTGCCCAGCAGCGCAGGGCACTCTGCAAGCCAGAGCTTGGAAGTCACCCTGGACCTCCATGGCGTGAGGCAGTCCCAGGCCACCTGGGCAAGTTCACTTTCTCTCCAGGCTCTGCACCTGCCTGTGCCCCCGTGCTGCGTGCAGTCGGAGGGAAACCAAAGGCCACCCAGAGCACGAAGCAGGGTGTTCCCAATGCCAGTTGGCTTTCCTGTGCTGCGTGCTGGCTGTGCCCCAGCATCCCGCGGGGGGCTTGGCCACCAGCCATCACAAAAGCCTCGTAAACATGGGGGAGCCTTGGCTGAGGCGGCTGCGGAGGGGCCTCAGAGGCAAACAGCGCTTCCCTTCACTTTCAGGACCCCTGGGTGAAGGCCCACAGGATGCAGGGATGGGGGTTCTGGGAGGGTGGGGTGTGGCAGATAGGAAGGGCCATCTTCCAGAACCTGGCCTGCAGCCCGGGGGTGGGGGAAGAGATGGTGAAACGGCACTGCAACGTAAATCAGACACAAAAACTGCTTTGCTCTTCAGCTCTTTTATTCATTCCCCTGGTTTCTGTGAACCTGTTACCTATGATGCCTGTTTCCTGGGCCGGGGGGTGGGTGCTAAGGTAGGTCCTGCAGTGACACATGACCACCAGCCAGGAGGCCTGCTAGAGAACTCTTTCCCAAGAACTGTAGAATTTCTGGTAACCTCTGATTGGCTGAGGGAAATTTCTAATGACAACTTCGAGGATGTTCATGTTTCTTTTTTGGTCTTTGCAACTGAAGACTCCCCATTTATTTCTCTTGATGTCTGTTCTCCCTGTGTTGGCAAACGGGTGGCCCAATTACCCCCAGTTTTTGTGTGGCCTGCACGATATCATAAACATTCTGGAATTCATTACCAACATTTAAAAACATGGTGATTTCACCCGAAAATCTGGATTTGTGGCTCCTATCTAGATAGCTGGCAACGTGGCAGTGTGGCCTGTGTCCTCGCTTGGCCACCATGACCTGGGGCCAAGCAGGCCTGGCACCTTTCACCAGGCAGGGGCACTCCAGCCCCCCACACTCCTCCAGCCACTCTATGTTTTGATTTAGCTGCCTCGTCTAGAGAGTAATTTGCTTTGTGCCTCTGCTTTATGGAAGGAGAGATGGTTTGGTCATTGGAAAGCAAAACTTATCCAGATCAGACCCTTGCAGAAATGCCACCTTCCTGCAAGTGAGCATACGGTCTCCTCCAAGCTCCTGGAGGACATAAAAGCCAAATAGCTCAGGTTTCAGTTTGCCAGCTGTGCTAAAATGCAGCCTCTGGATAACTGCAAATTTGGGGAAGACCAAAAACACCTCCTTTTTATTTACTCCCTGATCAGTAGATCTGACCAAAGCAATAGAACCAGGGCCGACAGTCCAGTTTCTCCGTGGATGTAATAACATTTAGGATGGAGTTGCCAGGATGTGTCTTCCATTGGAGGAAGGCTTCACTTGAACTTCACTTGAAGGGTCTTGCAAAAATGCCATTAGAAGCTGGAATCCTGTGACTCGAGGCATCAAGGGGCTTAGTTAAGAGCTCTGATGCACCGTTTAACAAATCTTAACCTCTCTGGCCCTCATTCTCTTTATCTCTGAAACAGAGACTCATTAACACTGGCCCTGCCTGTTTCTCAGAGATGTTCAGAGCTTTCAAGGCATTATAGTAAGTGTGACTAGCTCTTGGACATCTCAGCCCATTTCCCTGCCCCAAACCCAGCACCCAGTGTTTACGCTGTGGTGAGGCACAGTCCCCAGGACTAATCTGTTCTGACCTCATCTAACTTTGTCTTATCAATCGGAGGGCCCAGCCTTTTATACAACCGTGCCAAGAAATGTCTCCTAGCCAAGGGCGTCAGACCCAGCTTGAGAAAGGTCACCAGTGTATCCCAAAGGCCCAGCCAAATGGAAGCGAGCTCTCAACAGTTTGGGTTCTAGTCCATAAGAAAACACTTGGGAGTTTTCTGTGTCAGAATTGTCAGAAGACATGGAAGGGGAGCTCTCCAGCATAGTAAGAGGCAGAAGACCATTGTCTAGGCTCCAAGTGTCCAGGTGTGGATTGGAACAAAGCTATCATTCTACCCGAGGAATTAGAAGGGTCCCGTGGTCACACCCCACATGTCACCTGTGCTAGTGAAGGGGGGACTTCCATGGTCACAGATGTCCCTGGGCAGGAAGCAGAGGGGAGGAGGGTTCAGGGAGGGCCTGGGCCATGTGCAGCCACCAGAGTATGAGGCACCTTGCGTCATTTTCTGTTTGAGGTCTACCCCTGCACCTGTGCCCTCCAGCCAGGTCCTTAGCCCTGTTTTCTAGAAGAGGCAGTAGATGCTCAGAGATGAAGGGACTGGCCTACACCCCTCTGTCAGAGTCCAAGCTCCTGAACCACCGGTCAGAGCTCAGTCCACATGGAGAAGGACTCCGGAGGCCCCATGATGGTACTTTTGAGCCACAGCATGTCCTACAGACGGTCATCAGCTCTCCAGAGCCTGGCCTTCTCAAGCCTCGCCATTCTGGTTTTGAAGGCCAGATGGACACTTCGGTTTTCTTAACACCATGAACTTCCTGGTGCGGGGAGGTACAGAACCCCAGGACGTGAATGTAAGTCATACCTGAGAGGCCCAACACCATGCTACCCCAGATCTGCTAGCTCCCACTCGACCTCCTCCATTGTTCAAGCGCCCTTCCTTGGCTGTGGAGGGTGGCTTGCCATCCAGCAAACTCCTCCCCCACCAGCTTCACCAGTGAGGTCAAGCCCTTAGCTGGCCTGCCTCTTGACTAGCCAGGCCATGGTGAATAATGCCTCCCAGCTTTCAAATGGAAAGTAAGGCATTGGAAAGCCACAGAGCCTACTCTTCAGCCAGCTTGATCAGTGACCCCTGGCCATAGAAACAGGACAGCTTGATGGCCTGTGATGATCCCGGCTGCCATTCAGGGCTGGTATCTGATGGCACTGGCTTGGTGCGCACAGAGCCAAGGGGGAGAGTACTCTGCATGGAAGGGGGGTGTGCTCTCCCATGCTTCCAGCTGCCCACTCCCCAGCAGGTCTGGCCAGAGCTAGGGCCCAGGGAAGACTTGACCTCCCAAAGTGAGAACTTGGTCACGGACCCAGAACTGAAAGTCCGTATAGGCACAAACATACTGGGAGCAAGCATGATGGGGCAGGGGCCACACAGAACTGAACCGGGGGACCACACCCTGACCGTTGGCCTCGCCACCACTCCCTCCTCCACTACCATCACCAGGTGGGCCGGCCCCCACAGGTGCAGAGATCTGTACAGCAGTTCTAAAAATCTGCCCGTTGCTTTTCCCCATTTCTTCTCTGGAGAATGGAAAGGACACAGTTCCCCATGGGGGTCCTGGTCCTCACTTGCTGGGCAACTGTCCAACATAAGTAGATTCCACTGGATGAATGTTACCCTGATATTCACACTTGTTTGCACTAGATTTGCTTTTCTGTTGACCTCTTAGCTTGGCTTCACGTCTGTGGACAGTGCCCTCATCACACACATGGGGTTGGTACACTTTTAAATCCTCTCCTATAACCAGCCCCCAAACCGCCACGTGCCAGACTTTGAAGGCTTCAAACAAGCTGCCCAAAAAGAAAGTCAGTAGAACTCCGAGGGCTGTCAGAGCCTCAGTGTATCTGGAAGCTTTGACATTTTGCCTCTAAGAAAACTCCTGTTACTTGGCCCCAAGGTGCTGTTGAGAAAGATTAGCGTGTCTCTAGGGAGGTGATGGACAGGCCAGTCTGAGGACATGCCTCAGGTGCTGTCCTGCCCCCACCAAAGCAAGAAGGACTAGTCATCCCTTGGGAAGGGGCTGGCACCAGTCTTCTCCTGTAGCTGGGTGAGGGTGCCTGAGAACAGCACCCAGAACTGTGGGAAGGCAGGGCCCCTCCCCCAGCCTCAGCACATGGCTGAACCCCAACCCGGGTCCCCCGCATGGGACAGTCCTCACATTCCCATTCCTGCTGAGGGCATTATTAGTCTCTGCCATGTTTGAAAAATGACCTGTCCTCCTGGGATACCAGCTATTTCCAGATCTGTGCAAATCGTTGTTTCCACCCGCTAAATGCTGGGTATTCGACCTGGGGGCGGGGAGATGTCACTTAAAATGGGAGAGGAGGAAATCACATTTTTTTTCTAGAATAGTGAGACTTTTGATCACAAGTTGAGATATTTCAGTTTCAAGACCAGAGGCATTAATCACCACTGAGATGATGGGATGTTTCTGATTAGAAACAAATTATTCTGGAGGGATTGTAATGGATGGTGTTTTTAAAGAAAACCATTGGCTCTCTGCGTTAAGAGTACGGCGTTCCCTTTCACTGAAGAGATCAAAGGACCATTGACTTCCTGGTGCCACTGGAGGTTCTGTGGAAGGGGGCTGGTCTGACTCTAAGGCCTCAGTCAGGCCCCAAGTGTGCCCCCTCACACCCGAGCCCCAGACTGTGATATGGAAATCACAACACCTCCTAGAGGCCTTGGGAGGTCAGGGGAAGGAGTGAGCACACAAGAGCCTCTGGGCTGCAGCACCTCAGGGAAGAAGTCAGGGAGAGCCTCTCGCTCCTACCTTGCTATACTGTGCTGTCCCAGACAGCTGGTAGATGCCTTCCTGTGCTCTGGGCAGGGAGACAGGGCTTTCAGCTCCAGGGCCTTAGCAAGAACGAGAGTGGTTTGCTATAGAAAGTGTTTCAGCCTACACCACTTCCAAAGTCTGCACCTCCTTTCTTGGATGGGGCCTGCCCCCACATCCCACTCTGCAAGGCTGGCCTGCCTGCCAGGCTGGGGGTCCGCAGCCAAGTCTCTGTGATTCAAGCAGCATTTCCTGAGCTCCTTTTCTCAGGAGAGAATGTTCCAGACCTGTCCTGGTCAGGGGGGGTATGAGAGTGGACAATGACCCAGCCTAGGTACAGACCAACAAGGAACCAATGATATTAGGCCACACTCAGTCGCCTGGTCCAGTGTGC